AATAGATTCTTCTCCATGATGGTAGAAAACTCACCTCTAAAGAAAGCCAAAGATTGAGGAAATTCAAAAACTGGTTTCTTTACTTACAATAATTAACAAGCAAATACATTGGTCACCTAGCAAACAATATAAGCTTACATCTTATTTTAAGAAATAGAAATCATGATTATATACCATCAAGATGCTTTTCACTCCTAATAACTACATAGACAGATTTTGTTCATGAAAAATCTATCCCTAATTTGGTCTTTTAGATCTTCCAATGATGGATCTATTGGCACTGTAACTGAGTCTATCCACCTCACTGCTGGGTATCATCTTCTCTTTGCTTCTAATTTTTCCAGCATTAGAGCCTTTTCCAAAGCGTAGCCTAAGTGAATAATTGTTTTACAATCAAGATAAGGAAGTAAAGGATATCATCTCTGGAAGCAGGAGAAAGGACCAATTGCTTGTCCAGCACAGAGGAGTCACAGAATTATGGAGCTGGAAGGGAACCTTGGAGGTCTTATAGTCCAACCCCCTCAAGCAGGAGACCCTATATCAGTGATGGCTAACCTTTTCCAGACCGAATGTGTGTGCGCACATCCTTACCCCCCAAAATGCAATGCATGCGGCTCCTTTGCATGTACCCCACCCCCACGCATGCACACGCAGCCCCCTGCATGTGCCCCCGCATGCATGCATGCCCCCCTGTGTCACTGCATTATTTGTTTGCCAGCTGAGCTCCCATTCTAAGACTTACGATAGCCTTGCCAGGGAACTTATCTGTAGCTGAGATAAGACTGGTCTTGTGAGACATTGGACTACTGCGCATGTCTACATTTTTTCTTTTCTTACTTCCTTTGTTCGTCTGTGTGATAAGACTGCCGATAGGATGTAGTTATCTAGTTTTGTACTTTTATAATAAAATGTTTCTTAGAATATATACTTCGGGTTTTCTTTCTTTGAGAGTATACACCATGGAAAACAAGATCCATTCACCTCTAATTAATTACAGTTTCCCCAGGGGGGGAACAAGGCTGATTCACACTTCAACACCCTGCATGCACCCTGCCCCCTCCCCACATGTGCAGCAAAGACCCAAAGACCAGCTGTCCAGCAGGAGGCATGCACGGAGCTAAACTTGGGTGACATCTCGTGTCCCATCAGAGAGGGCGCTGTGTGCCACCTCTGGCATGTGTGCCATAGGTTCGCCATCATGGCCCTATACCATTTCAGACAAATGGTTGTCCAATCTCTTCTTAAAAACCTCCGGTATTGGGGCACCAACTTCTGGAGGCAAATTGTTCCACTGATTAATTCTTCTCACTGTCAGGACATTTCTCCTTAGTTCTAGATTGCTTCTCTGTCATTAGTTTCCATCCATTGTTTCTTGTCCTGCCCTCAGGTGCTTTGGAGAATAGCTTGACTCCCTCTTCTTTATGGCAGCCCCTGAGATATCGGAACACTGCTATCATGTTACCCCTAATCCTTCTTTTCATTAAACTAAATATACCCAATTCACAATCCATATGCATTAATTTATCAAAGATACAGATAACCAAGTAACGTATATGTAAGTTATGAAAGGCATGGGTGCCCAGTTCATTATGCCTTCATGTTTGTTTGCTTGTTTTTTCATCTTACCTTTATTATTTGAATAAATAACTCAGGGCAGAAAATATATCTAACACTCCTTCCTCCTCCTATTTCCCCAAAAACCAAGTGAGGTGAGTTAGGCTGAGAGAGAGAGAGTGACTGATCCAAATCACCCAGTCATGTTGCCAGATGTTATTGTTACAATATAATTTTTCTTATTTTTTTAAACATAAGAAAATACCACTTCTTCTAAGCACCACAATGAGATGATGTGTTGCTTTCCTCTGTCTAATAAGACAGCTTTTGTGAGGGGGATGCTGGATCCAAGCCGGCATAATCTCTCCAGAACAAAGGAAAAATAATTGAGATCCTCCATGTCACTCTGGACAGCCGTTTCTCATTTCTTGTGAGTAGATCATAAAAACTGCCATGTTTACAATCAGAATGGCTGAGATTCAGGATTGCATCAACCTCACTGTTCCAAAAGAAGCACCCATATGGACATTGAGCTTGACTAAACCTTATATTTTAATCACTTTTTTTTATTTTAAAAAATATAATATATTATATATATTGGACTATGCAATAAAAGGGTGCTTACTATATGGATTTTGGAAAGTTAATAACAGATTAAGGAGCCAAAGTGATTCAAAATTATAGTTTAGAATTATTACTGAATTATTTAGATATTTTCTTATGGGAAAATGGAGATTCCTTTCAAGCTTTTTTTTTTTATGATAAGAAGACCTTGAAGGCTGGACACTAGAGCCAGAGGATAAAGAAAATGGTAGTACAGTGGTCTAAGGCACCCTGTTATTAAGCTGGTTATTAAGACCAGATGCCTGCAATTACTGCAGGTTCGAATCTTGCCAAGGCTCAAGGTTGACTCAGCCTTCCATCCTTTCTAAGGTAGGTAAATTGAGGACCCAGTTGTGGGGGCAATAAGATGACTTTGTATAAATATACAAAAGAATGAAGGCTATTGCTTAGCGCATTGTAAGCCGCCCTGAGTCTCCGGAGAAGGGCGGCATATAAATCAAATTTTAAAAAAATGGAGCAGAAATCTTTAGTGCAAACTTTGATCAGCCATGTTTTTGGACCGAATAGATCAAATGCTTGATAAAATTGATAAGTTACAGTAATGCAGTTAATACAGAAAAGGTTAAAAACCAATTAAAAGCAAATACCATATTTATTGTGCACAAAGTAAAACTAACAGTCAACCATTCCTAAAACAAAAAGTTTTCATACCCCAGAAGGTACAATTAAATCAGATTGGTTGGGTTCACACAATAGGCTGAATGAGCTTGAACAGTCTGTGGTTCAGCAAGTCTTAATATCTTGCATGGCATTTCATTGTGTTAAGTTATAATATGGTTTATTTGCATAGCATGCTTTGCTATTTAATAAACACAATGGGTGTTTATTAAACACAAATTTAATTCTAAGCAATTGACTGAACCCATAAACTGTGGTGATCAATCAGTGTTATCAAAACAAATATCTAGACATCTTGAGTTGTGCTACAATTCATAGCATCAAGTGTAGCAACTTGATCATCATCCATTTGTCAGTTGGGCTTGTTAGTGCTTTAAGAACCAGTCTGTAGCTCCAGTCAATGACTTCCTTTACAAATGGCTGTCCCTTACACTCTTCAATAGAGTGACTCAAGAAGGTGTCACCAAGTGATCTGGCTGGGCTCCAAGGCTGGTGCATCAGGATGGAGAAAGAGAGACACAGATGTTTAATTAGGTTATCATTATAATTAATGGTATAATTTCTTCTGATTTAGTTTTGGGGAAAGGGCAAAATCATATCTGGTACAATGTCCAAATATTGATATTGCAGTCAGAAGCTGGTAGATAGCAATGTGGCACTATTAGTCACAAGGAAGTCTGGGAGGTGGACACAGTTTTGTAAATGCAAGCTGTAGCTTCCCTGAGGCAGATTGCACTTAAGCACTATTTGCACAATAGCTAGCTGTGGGTTCTCAAATTTGCATATGTGCATATCGGATAAAGGGAAGGATTGCTATTGTATTGTAGTTGGTGAATCTCTCTGTGCTGTTGGGATTGTTTATATGAATAATCCTTCATTTCACTTTCTGTGACCATCCCAAATAACTTTCTGTAAGAACAACTTACAGAAAGTAAGTTCTTCTTATTCTTGTTCTGTAAGAACAAGGGATTCTGTGGCTCAGTGGCTAAGATGCTGCACTTGTCGATCGAAAGGTCGGCAGTTCAGCAGTTCGAATCCCTAGTGCTGTGTAACGGGGTGAGCTCCCATTACTTCTCCCAGCTTCTGCCAACCTAGCAGTTCGAAAGCACGTTAAAAATGCAAGTAGAAAAATAGGAGCCACCTTTGGTGGGAAGGTAACAGTGTTCCGTGCACCTTTGGCATTTAGTCATGCCGGCCACATGATCATGGAGATGTGTGAGGGGAACCTATGTGTGAGGGGAACCTTTACCTTTAAGAACAACCATGTGAGAGGATTTATTCAAGGTAAAAGGCAGGATCAAGTAAAACTTCCTCCCAATATTCTTCCCCCTAAGCTGCTTATTTGAGGGGTCATTTATCTGTATTTGCATATTGTATACCATTAGTTGCTCTTTTCTTTTTTTCTTTTTTCTTTTTGGCCATTCTGATCTTGTCACTGTTCTCCTCTAATGCTTGCTTCCTGCTGTGTTTAAGTTTCTAGTCCTTAAAAGCCAAAGGACGATAAGTCAGTGGCAAGAGGATCCCCTGTGCATACTGTTGTTATCATTTCAGCAATGACATTTCACACAGGGAAATAACTCCTGCCCACAACCTTTAGAAACTGCTGGCAAAGAGAATAGAAAATTAATCATTCTTTGGATATATTGGCGGGGCAAAGCTCATTGGGAGAGTATCTGTATCATTTTCAAAAGGTCCTGCTTTCAATCTTCAGTATTTCCAATTAAAGGGGAGCTGGGTATGGGGAAGATCTTTCTTTGCCAGAAATCCTGGAGAGTAACTGTCTGTCAAATCAGACAATGTAGGCTAGAGGACTCAAATGTCTTTCCTGAGTGAAGTCAGCTCCCTGTGTTCCTCATTACTTACAATTATATACCAGTCTATCTTCAAAATGCTTGCCCTTCACCTGGATTTCCACAATACACTAGACTAGGCTAAAATGAGCTTTGATAATTTGCTTTAGCATGTTGTGTGAACCTGGTGATTGTGTAAAGTCATAATCTAGTTTATTTGCATATGTCACCTTCTCTGAACAAAGCAATTGTACTTTGGTAATCCAACTTTAAGAAATCGCACAAATGCAAGTTTATGCGGTCTCTCCTTTTCTTTCTAGCCATTTCTTCCTACAGGAACCTGATCATGCAGAAGTTTGTCTAGCTAAGATTTGTTTTCTAAGAATCTCACTGTCTTTTCTGCTTGCTTTCTAGACTCATTGGTATATTCCAGATGGTCCTGCAGAAAGTGGTGGAAGAAGGACAATTGAATGTGACGGACACCTTGATCGATGACAACAATGTGTCCATTCAAGTAAATATTGTAGTTTTGCCCAAGGGGAGGTGGAGCCATTTTTATTCTGTCCATGGTCTTCTGAGTTGATTGATTGGGTTGTTTTTTTTTTACTCCAACAATGGTGTTTCCATAATATTAGATAAGCAGTTGTGCATCCAGATCGAAATCCAGCCTTTTGCATAGCTCCTTTCACTGCCTATGGATGGAGATGATAGAAGCCTGCGGGCTGTCCTGAGATTGCATTGTTCATGGGAAAGGAACAATTTAATAGCAATAGAAATAGCATTTAGGCTTATATTCCACCCCATAACTTGGTTTACAATGTAAGCATTATTTGCATATTGCCCTCAATAATCTTAGTCTTCATTTTACTGACCACGGAAGGATGGAAGGCTCAGTCAACCTGAAGTCCCATCATGATCGAACTCCAGGCTGTAGACAGAGTTTGTTGTGACATAGGCTTACTGAGTAATTACAATACACAATTAGTCCCAAACAAATTATTTTATTGTATCAGCTGAGAATTATGTTCATTCCCAGCTGAGTCCCAATTAATTGCAAAACAAGTCCTTCAGAAGAAGTCCTTTGGGATAATCACCAATCTTTATCTTCTTTGACACCCTGCCAAAGGCCTTACTGGCAAAGCCCCACAAAGTTCAGAAACAAACAAGAGATGCCAAATGGAAGCAGATTTAGCAAAGTTCCTGCAAAAAGGCCCAAGTGCCTCTGTTTCTCTTTTAAACCTTATGGGAGGAGCCAATCATCTCCTGGCCTTACTCCAGAGTCGTCTTTTTTGCTTTAGCTGCTCTTGCCTTCTGGCAGCTCTGCGCATGCGTGCACTAGGAACAGGCTCCTCCTGATCCTCTGCCTTTCTGCTATCCGATTCTGGGGGCTCCGGAGTCAGCACATCACTCCCAGATGACCCTGGCCCCATCTCTGCCTCTGATGCAGAGCCCTTCCCCAGACTCCAGGACTGGCCCATGTTCCTGCCCAGCCTCCTCACTGTTTGACTCTGTGCCAGCTCCGCAGGCTGCTGGCGGACCACAACAGAGTTAACCTGCAATATTGAATTCTAACAATAGTGCTACTAGGGCTCTGTTGATTTAAAAATGAAGTGCTGCAACATAAACCTACCTTTATTTATTTTTATTTTTATATTTTTGCTTTAATTTATATGCCGCCCTTCTCCGGAGACTCAGGGTGGCTTACAATGCGTTAAGCAATAGCCTTTATACTTTTGTATATTTATACAAAGTCAGTTTATTGCCCCCACAATCTGGGTCCTCATTTTACCTACCTTTGAAAGGATGGAAGTCTGAGTCAACCTTGAGCCTGGTGAGATTTGAACTTGCAGTAATTGCAAGCAGCAGATGTTAATTATAGTGCTTTAGTCCACTGTACTACAGGCTCTTTGCTTATTTCTCAGTTTGGTCTGGTCTTTATGCATTCGTGTTCTATTTAACCCATAGTAGAGTTTAACTGACACTAAACTTTCCCCACTGAAATCAAGTTTCAGGTTGCATAGAGTTGACTTTAGGCAACTATGAAAATCATTGGGGATTTCAAATCAGTCCTTGCAGATGTTTGTAAGCCCCTTCAAGGAGTGCTTGCTAAAGTCTTTGCCCAGCTCCAGTTCACATGAATGTCAAGTTCATGTCCAAACCTCCTCCTTACGTCATGAAGAAATGTTTAAAAAGGTCATAGATCTTTAAAAGAAAAAGCTATAGAATCATGTTCTGACTGTATAGTCCAGGGGTCTCCAACCTTGGCAACTTTAAGACTTGTGGACTTTTTTCCATGTCTGGTGGCTTTGCCCAAAAATTAGGAAGTATTGGGAAAAAATAAGGATTTGGCTAATAGAAATAACGTTGGAAAAAATAGAACTCAAACCAGATTTTTTTTTTTTACTAGGGATGATTAAAGAAAATTATAAAAAAGAAATAAAGTATTTAATACCACATATAGTCACTGCGGCCAGATTGGCGTTAGCTCAATTTTGGAAAACTGATCAACTGCCAACAGAACAACTGATAATCCAAAAAATCTATAATTGTGTGGAAATGGATAAATTAACATTTGAATTGAATTAATTTAATTTAATTAATTTAATTAATCATATTTCTATGCCGCCCAACTCCCAAGGGACTCTGGGCGGCTTACAACAAAAATAATACAAACAATGAACATATTTTTTTTAAAAAAAAACATTATAAAAGCATTTTAAAAACATTAAAAACACATGCACACCATCCATGGCCGGATCTCGCAAGATTGAACAGAAAGATAAGGCAGACTCAAAATATTATATAGCATGGAATAGATGGTATGATTGGATAATTCGGAGAAATGAAGGCAAATGTAAAATTCTGAATGATAACAAAAATTTAAAAAAAAATGCACCATCAATAAGACAATGGATATGTGACTAAAGTCACCTTTTCTTTTTATGTAGTGTTGTTTATATTGATATATATGTGTTTAGTGTATATATGGTGCAGTATTTTGCTTTTAAATGTTTAATAAAGTTTGTTTTTAAAACCAAAAAAAAAAAGACTTGTGGACTTCAACTCCTAGAATTCTAGGAGTTGAAGTCCACAAGTCTTAAAGTTGCCAAGGTTGGAGACCTCTGCTTTAGTCCATAGAGTTCCATTCCACAAGGTCCCAGCTGTTCAAGGGTGCAACTTAATGGACTTATTGGAGAGCATGAAAGACCAGATTTGAGGATTGTTGGTTTTTTTAAAAAAAAACAAAAACAGTGCAAGGTGCACTCTCTTTCTTGTTCTGTTCAATCAATATTTAATTTCTCTTTCAGTAAATATACACAACAGGATGTACAGTAATATAAAAATCTGCTATTTCCTAAATTGTGTTATGAAGTTTGCCTCTGCCTGCAAGTTTTATTTATTTATTTATTTTTTGGTCTCACTTTGTTTTCAAACATGCTTTTACCATGACCTTACATTCACCCAATTTTAGCTTTTTAACCCATGGCTAAAATCACCCAGTGCCTATGTCACTATAGAAATGCTTGGATAAGGCATGTAATTTACTACCTTATTCAGTAACCATGGGAACCACACATAGAAAAGGAGAGCAAGTTAGGAACCTCCCTTCTATTTTTCTCCCCCCCCCCACCTATTTCTGTTGTAGTTCAGTAGAACCTTTGTCTGGATTAGCTGGAGAAAGAGATAAATAGAGACTGAGGGTGGAAAGTCATTTTCCAAAATATTTAATCCCTTTTACTGATTTGAAAAAAGGGACGCGGTGGCTCAGTGGCTAAGACGCTGAGCTTGTCGATTGAAAGGTTGGTGGTTCAGTAGTTTGAATCCCTAGTGCTGCATAACGGGGTGAGCTCCTGTTACTTGTCACAGCTTCTGCCAACCTAGCAGTTCAAAAGCACGTAAAAAAATGCAAGTAGAAAAATAGGGACCACCTTTGGTGGGAAGATAACAGTGTTCTGTGCACCTTTGGCATTTAGTCATGCCGGCCACATGACCACGGAGACCTCTTTAGACAGCGCTGGCTCTTCGGCTTTGAAACGGAGATGAAACGCCCCCTAGAGTCGGGAACAACTAGCACGTATGTGCAAAGGGATCCTTTGCCTTTACCTTTACTCAGTGGTGGGATTCAAATAATTTAACAACCGGTTCTCTGCCCTAATGATTTCTTCCAACAACCAGTTCACCAAACTGCTCAGAAAGTTAACAACCGGTTCTCCCTAAGTGGTGCAAACTGGCTGAATCCCACAACTTCCTTTACTGATTTGAAAGAGACTAGGGAGAGGTTACAAAGCTGTGGATTTGTTGATGCCTGTTTCATGTTTAAAACATTGCTTTTGCTTTAGTTTGTTTTCCATTGCTTTCTGTCACTGTGAAACCTGAATGTATCACCCCGCCATCACAGGTCCATCTCTGAGGAGGAATTGCAATGGAGCTTGCAATTTTAAGCTTTTATTTTGATGCCAGCGGAAGCCTTTGGATATTTTGTTGACATGACGAGAGAGCAACTAAGGGATCATGATCCCAAATCACTCATTAAAATACTGCTTGCTCCATAGACAGTAAAGCTTCTGAATGAGAAATATATGGCATCAATGAACCTCTATTTAGATTAACCCATCTGCAATTATATTCACTTCTCAGGCAGCATGAGTTTATAAGTCCTGATGATTGAAAGAAAATCATGCTGTGGTTTGGAGCCTTGAGCTTTTTCCACTAAGTATCCACATGAGGAGGGAAAATTCTCTATATTTTGACATCTGTTGAGATGATTCAGCTGCATTCCATGTTTGAGCCACATTAATGCTGAGCTTTATCAAACTGTTCCCTATAGCGGTACAGCAAGTGCTGGTGACTCTATAGCCAAAGAAGAAGACTGCATAACAAAAGGGAGGTGTTGTCATGCTTAGGAAGGCCTAACCTTAAGAAACATGCCGTGAGGCTTGAGCCAACCCAATAGGCATAAAACGTTGACCTTGGCCATTTTAATTTTTCTCAGCCTTGGCAATTTTAAGATACATGGACTTCAGTTCCCAGAATGCCCCAGCCAGGTTGAGAAACACAATGTCAACCGTCCCTCTCAGTCATCTAGCAAAGAAAGATTCCTTGCCATTTGTTTTGCCAAACGTATACTTTACTGAAGATTAAATGGTTACCAAAGTAGCATAAGCTGAATCTGAGTTTTTCCTGTGCAAACAACCCAAAGGAAAGTTCCCTTCCCCCCCCCCCCAGCATTATCTGCATATATCCAATCACGTGCTTGTATAAGAGTTGTGGTGGCGCAGTGGTTAGAACGTAGTACTGCAGGCTATTTCTGCTGCCTGCTGGCTGCCTGCAATTTGGCAGTTCAAATCTCACCAGGCTCAAGGTTGACTCAGCCTTCCATCCTTCCGAGGTGGGTAAAATGAGGACCCAGATTGTTGGGGGCAATATGCTGACTCTGTAAACTGCTTAGAGAGGGCTGTAAAACCACTGTGAAGCAGTATATAAGTCTAAGTGCTATTGCTATTGTATATTGCTCAGGAAACAGGTCCTCGGTTCCCAGCTCTACATATCGCTGATGACCTTGGCTGGCTAGAGCTTCTTGCATGGCTCAACTGGGCTTCCATTCCATCCCCCTTTCTTCACACTCCAATCTTTCCCTCTCCCCCCACTCCCCATGCTAATGTCTGACTGACAGCTTGTGAAGCTTGGATCGGTAAGATCAGTGGTGGGATTCAAATAATTTAACAACCGGTTCTCTGCCCTAATGACCGGCTGGATGGGTGTAGCCAGAGGATGTGACAGGCAGCACTCGGCCTCCTGCACCCCCCTGGGAGCAAAATCGGGCCATGAGGGAGATGCACCGCCCTTCTGTGCCTCATTTTGGGCCTAGGAGGCCTCCCTGCACTTACCTGGAAGCCAAAATGGGGCACATGGAGACTCCTGGAAGTGGTGGGGCAGGGAGGGACAGAGCCAGCCAGCAATTTGAGTACCGGTTCACACGAACTGGCCCGAACCAGCTGAATCCCACCATTGGGTGAGATGCCGCCATGACACACTACATATGTATCAAGATACATTTTAGTGTTCTGTTGTAGGTCTCTATCTATTCCTAATTGGGTCAAAATTTGCCTTGCAGTTCTCACTTTTGTTCAGAGAAGGATCCTCTGTTTTTCTCCTTTATTCTCAAAGATGTCTAAAGATTTTTTTTTTAAACTTTCTCTTGCTGGCGTTTAGTGACAGAAACTGCCATTACTTAAGAGTTATTGTTTTCTGTTACTCATCTTCCCATCGGTTTCTAGTCCTCTTAATTGGCCACATTTACCATTCTGAAAAAGCTCAGTGGGAGCAATTCCTTCAGATTACTTTTTTTTTTTTTAGATTTAATGGATCTGTTGGCAGCCAAAGAGGCTGGAGATTCGTGGAGAAATGCTTTAAGAAAGCATTTAAGAATACTTTAAGAAAAAGTATCACTTGGCCAATTTGCAGGTAGCAAGAACACCATCCATGAGACTTTTGCCAAAATATATCTATCCACTGAAAGAAATGTTAAAAATGAAATTCGTTTCATCAAAAGAAAAGAGAACTGGTTAGAAAAATATGCAGGAGCGTTTTCCTGCTTGGCAATATTTACTTACAAAAGAAAAACTCTCTGGCAACCAACTTTGTAACCTCCAGTTATCCTGAGCGCTTTTTTTTCCCTCTCAGTGCTTTTGGTTACTTTTTAAAAAGTTCAGGTTACTGTTTTGATTGTCTTATGCAAATGAGCACTGTGGCTCAGTGGATAAGATGCTGAGCTTGTCGATCAAAAGGTCGCCAGTTCAGTGGTTCGAATCCCTTGTGCCACGTAACGGGATGAGCTCCCGTTACTTGTCCCAGCTTCTGCCAACCTAGCAGTTCGAAAGCACGTAAAAAATGCAAGTAGAAAAATAGGGACCCCCTTTGGTGGGAAGGTAACAGCATTCTGTGTGCCTTTGGTATTTAGTCATGCTGGCCACATGACCACAGAGACATCTTCGGACAGCGCTGGCTCTTCGGCTTTGAAACGGAGATGAGCACTACCCCCTAGAGTCAGGAATGACTAGCACATATGTGCGAGGGGAACCTTTACTTTTATCTTTATGCAAAGGCCACACTATGTTATCAATTCTATTGTTTATATTATATTGCCTTAGTTTATTCTGCACATTAGATCTATGTTTAACAGCTGTGTGAACTCTTCAATAACCATACTAATCTTCAAGCTGAAAATCAGTCCCTAAGTATCTTGTTATTGTCCTTATCTCCATTATAATTATGGGTTCAATTTCTCCATTTTAGACAATAGGCACATAACAACTGACCATGTTTGTTTGTGTGTGTGTGTGTGTGTGTGTGTAGACCTGAATTTACGACCACTATTGAGCCCAAAATTCATGTTGCTAAGTAAGATTGTTAAATAAATTCTGCCCCGTTTTATGAACTTTCTTGCCATAGCTGTTAAATGAATCACTCTTCAGTTGTTACATTAGTAACACGATTGTAAAGTGACTTGGGCTTCCCCATGGACTTGGCTTTGTCAGAAGGTTGCAAAAGGTGATCACATGACCCGGAGTCACTGAAAGCATCATAAATATGAGCCAGTTGCCAAGTGTCCAGATTTTGATCATGTGACCAGGGGCTGCTGCCACAATTGTAAGTGTGAAAAACAGAGCCTTGGTAGTACAGTGGTCTAAAGCACCCTGTTATTAAGACCAGCTGCCTGCAATTACTGCAGGTTCGAATCTCGCCAGGCTCAAGGTTGACTCAGCCTTCCATCCTTTCTAAGGTAGGTAAATTGAGGACCCAGTTTGTGGGGGCAATAAGCTGACTTTGTATAAATATACAAAAGTATGAAGGCTATTGCTTAACGCATTGTAAGCTGCCCTGAGTCTCCGGAGAAGGGCGGCATATAAATCAAATTAAAAATAAAATAAAAAAATAAAAATACGTCACTTTCTTCAGTGCTGATGTAGCTTCAAATCGTCTCTAAAAGAAAGGTTGCAAGTTGAGGACTATCTGTATGCTGCTTCAGTCATATAAGTGACTTATGAAATCCAATACAAATGCAGCAAACTTGGAATCCAAACAATTGATCAGTAACTCCCCAAATAACATAGGGTACCTCTGCTTGTCAAGGAAAATATCCATTTAGTAATACTTTCTGCATTTTAGTCCATGATCCTCTGCAGGACAGCCATGTTTTATTTGCTTTTTTGGAATACCACGTGGATGGGACCATCCTTGCCTCAGGGGAAAATATGTTTGTAAAGGACGAGATTCATAACTGTGTGTCTATGATTTCTTTTTCTTTCAGACCAGTGTTTCCATTGAGATTCGGTACCAGGCCATGGATGGCAGCGTTGGGGCTTGGAATGATGATGAATTCTTGGAGAGTCCCAGGGTCCATCCAGATGGTGATCCCTATGAAACTGATGTCCTGCTTCCCAGTCACAGGCAGTCAAGCAAGACCAGCACTGCAGAGAAAGCCTTCCGAAGGTAAGGCTTTCTAACTATTTCCGCGGTGGCACAGTGGCTAGAGTGCAGTACTGTGGGCTACTTCTGCTGATTGCCGGCTGCCTGCAATTTAACAGATCAAATCCCACCAGGTTCAAGGTTGACTCAGCCTTCCATCCTTCCGAGGTGGGTAAAATGAGGACCCAAATTGTTGGGGGCAATAGGTTGACTCTTAGAGAGGGGCTGTAAAGCACTGTAAAATGGTGTATAAGTCTAAGTGCTATTGCTAATGTCCAACCTACAATAGAAATGATCTTGTGGAGTCCTGGGTGCTCTCTGAGCTCGGTAGTTGGCTTGAAAACATTTTGTTACCTAGTTGGGTAATGAAATGTCTACAAGCAAACAACCAAACTCCACAGTACAACCCTCAGCTATGGAACCCTGTTCCGTTGAAAAATGCACATCCCAAAGCTGTGTCCTATATTTGCTAATCATCATTGGATTTTGGATTGACCCTTTTGCAGTTTCCCCAGGATATCTGTTGCCAGTATGTTTCAATCTGTCCCAAGTTCAACTGTGCCTGAAATATCCTTCTTAGCTGCTTATCTGTTCTGTGCACCTTTGGCGTATAGCCACGCTGGCCATATGACCCTGGAAATTGTCTTCGGATATTGCTGGCTCCATCGACCAAGAATCAGAGATGAACGCTGTGCCCTAGAATTGAGCACAACTAATAGGGAAATCTGGTATAAGTGTTGCCAATTTTCAATTCTTTTGGGTGTAATCTCTCCATCTGTTTTGCAAATAAGAGCACCTTACATAGTACAGCAAAGATCTCTCTTGGGCCAGGCAAAATATAGAAAAAGCCAATTTGTTATATGAAATGGCTTTGAACTGTCTAATAGGAGCTGTAGATCAACTACCCAGATCAATATGTAACCGTTATGTTGCTGGACAGAAACACGATGCTTAGTGTTAACAAGCGTAATGCGCCACTGTGTGTGTGTTGACAGCCTCATGTAGGAGATCCAAATATATGTTTGATTCCTTCCAAACCCTGAGGGAAAAAAAAAAAACTGGGAGTAGTTATTCAGAAGAAAGGGCAGCATCCATCAGGTCATACTTTACTAAGCTAAGAGAAACTATAGAGTAACTGAGCAATTTTAAATGCAAGAGAAGGCATACGATAAATAGCTCAGTGCTCAGTGCTTGGAAACCATTTCTCGGAATGATCTGTCAGATAACGGGCATCAAAATGAATTTGCTCCATCTATGGCCGTTTTGCAGTTATTTGAGTGACATTTACCACGTGCCAGTAGACTACCAATTTCGAGTTTTTCATTAGCTGCCAAGAAATAATGGGTCAGGCAGCCTAAGAAATCAGGAGTCGTTCCTGCAGCCAAAATAGTTCATTCAAATCTTAGAGACTGTCAGAAATAACAAGCCCAAGGAGAAAAATAATCAAGTATGTGGTTTTAGGCCCTCAACTCTTTTGGTAGAAAATACTTCTTATTTCTTTGTTATAGCAATATGTATTTTTTTTTGTTACCATTTATTTTAAAAAGCCTTTCAATTGCAGAGAAATGAGGTTTTATGTAATTATAAAGTATTTCACTATTAGAAATGGTAGAAATTGAGTTGACCTTGTGCAGGCATCCACAACCTCTGGGCTGCAGCCACTGCTGGGCCGTGACCTATTTGCAACCAGATTATGTGAGCCGTGGGCCAGCATGCATGCGCTGGGCAGCTCAACTTACTCAACTTGAGCTGTGCAGGCCGGCGCATACGCGCCAGCCTGCCAGTTGCACAAGTCGAGCTGCACACGGTCGTGCATGCCAGCTCATTGCTCTCGTGATCCAGTTCTCCTCTCCCTCTTCCCCTTCTGCTGGGCCACCAAGTCGCAAGGTTGGGGACTGCTGACCTAGAAGTTAAACTTGACTAGTAAAAACATAAAACATCCAAATGAAATTTCAGGATTGGACAGTGTATTCAAAGGGACAAGTTTATTGGAGTTTTATATCTATATATCTATATATCTATATTTGTAGGTCTTTGGTTATTCGGGTTTTCTCCCGTGTAAAATTGGAAGTGTCTTGACGACGTTTCGACGAAGTCTCATTCGTCTTCTTCAGGCTGGTGTTTTCGGCTTCGTATTAGCACGAAGCCGAAAACACCAGCCTGAAGATGACGAATGAGACTTCGTCGAAACATCGCCAAGACACTTCCAATTTTACATGGGAGAAAACCCAAATAATCAAAGACCTACATACAAACACCTGCGAAAACCTCAGAAAACAAATCTCTCTATCTCTATCTCTATTTCTATCTATCTCTATCTATCTCTATCTCTATCTCTATCTCTATCTCTATCTCTATCTCATCTATATCTATATCTATATCTATATATCTACCTACCTACCTACCTATCTACCCTGTTTCCCCAAAAATAAGACATCCCCTGATAATAAGCCCAATCAGGCTTTTGAGTACATGCACTAAAGTAAGCCTCCCCCCGAAAATAAGCCCTCCCCAAAAATATTTAAATGCACAGCTGGAAATCAGGTAAGATGGCAAGAGGAGCTCCATCTTGCTCCACATGCCCCAAAATAATAAAACCTCCCCAAAAATAAGGCCAAGTGCTTATTTCGGGGTTCAAAAAATATAAGACAGGGTTTTATTTTGGGGGAAACATGGTATCTAATGATGTTCCAAGCTCCAAAATGTAGGATAAGATTTTTAAGGCCAGCTTGAACATCATAACATTTCTAACAGAACGAAAAACTAAGTGGAAAAAAAAATTAGGAAAATGAAGAAAAAGAGTCTACTAATGTAATATTGTTTGTTTTTCAAGAAATGACCATTTAGTGAGAAGTTGAACTTTCAAAGCTCAGATCTTCTCTCTTTTTCTTGCATTTTCTGAATCTATGAAACAAAATACACAGAATCTCCTACATACCATTAATACAAGCCTTCATGAAAAGCTCTGTTGTTTTAGACAATAAATGAAACAACTAGTTAGCCATTCTCCAAATAATCTCTTAACTTTATTGCCAACATATGCATTTCTTGACAAACCAACATTGGAAGATTTCCTCCTCATCCCCCTCACCCCCAGGGTGTGTGTACACACACATTTTTATTTTATTTTTTCATTCCTTATCCATTGAGTGAAAATATATTTGTCAATTCTGGCTAGCGTCATTAAGGGTTTCTCCAGAAGTTATCTACTGGTTGTGCAGCTAGAATGAATCTATAACGAATTAGTTTTGAAGTTGATGCCCTCTAGCGTCCATGTGGCATAAAACAAGGGGCCGATCTATTTAGGAAAGAGCTGTAAACTGCATTCCTGTAAGAAAAGTAGTAACAAGATAAAATCACTGGACAGGAAAGTGTTAAGCATCTCATTCATCAGTGTAGGTGCATATGTGAGTATACAAATGCATACAACAACATGCATGCAATATTCTGCAGCATGAACTGGAAATGCATCTGAGTGCTCTATTGATGAGACATTAATTATAGTTTGTTCAGAGGGGGCACTCAATGTATCAGTGATACATCATTAACTTACATTATGCCTTCTCACCCTTAACCTATTCATGGGGAATTTGCCCAGCCATGCTATTTATCTATCCAATTCATTTATCATTTATCCTAGAATTGCTGTTCCTGCTCTCAGCATCAATCCTTGGTGTCTAAAAAAAACCCATAATATACAAATAGTTCTTTTATTGACCCTCATTATTCTAGGCAAGAAGATGATGAATTGTATTACCATAGTGATGATGAACTGCTGGGTGAGGGAGATACCATCAGCCAAGGGTCTTTGAATGCCAGGTATGAAGCTCAGCTATGCCTGGGAGTGATTCGAGTGTGGGGTGCTGTGCTGAAGAAAGTTTTCTTAGGGGCAGAGTGTTTCCCCCCCCAAGAAAACTCCAGTAATCTTATATCATTTGCAATTTGCATTAAATATTAATTTAAGCCATTCTCTGGGTTTTTATTGTGTAAACCTACAGTAGCCAGGGAATTCTCATAAATTCCCCTGCTGGTTGAAACAATCCCAATTTACTTTGTTCTGTATTGTATTTTTATTGCTTATTATATTGTGAGATGCTCAAGAGTTACTTTGGAGTGGGACAACACCTGAAAGAGCCTGTAGTACAGCGCACTAAAGCACTGTTATTAACATCTGCTGCCTGCAATTACTGCAATTTCAAATCTCACCAGGCTCGAGGTTGACTCAGCCTTCCATCCTTTCAAAGGTAGGTAAAATGAGGACCCAGATTGCGGGGGCAATAAGCTGACTTTGTATAAATATACAAAAGTATGAAGGCTATTGCTTAACGCATTGTCTCCAGAGAAGGGCGGCATATAAATTAAAGCAAAAAGAAAAAGAAATCAATCAATCAATCTCAGAAACAAACAAACAAACAAAAAAAGCACTTGCAATATGGCACCAATTTTCTTTCCTGAATGGCTGACTATTTATGAGAACAAGGCATAATTGCAGAAATTTCTGGTTGTGCTTTTGCTGAACTTTATATAAACCTTTCCAAAGAGCATGCACGATGCAATATGATGTCATGGTAAGTAGATATGGAGAAATTTAATTTGAATTCCCAGCAGGAAGGGATTGCATTCCAGAGGAGCAAAAAACAGAGAGGTTTAGAGAGTTTGGGGAAAAAAGAGACGGAGCAGCTCCTCTTTAGGAATTCTCAGAGTATACGTTGAATAGTGTAAGTTTGGCAAGATTTCTGTCTATGGGGGAGGAACAATAGAGGAAACTCCGTAGATTAGAAGAACCTCGGTGTGCCTTTTCTTGGCTTTTGGAGCCTGACAGTAAGTGAGGCTTGCTCTGGTACCTCTTGATGATACAGATTAGGTAGGTAACTAGTAGATAGTAATCCACTAGGAGACAATGGTAGCAGATTTTATATTGGTCAATCAAGGAGCACTAGGTTTTGGTGGGGTGAGTTACATGCAAACCAGAACAATATTAATGCAAGAAGTGAACTGTTCAGTTTGGGTCCAAGCTCAAGAGAAATTCTACCAGACACATAATGGTAACCTAAGGCCATGATGGCGAACATAAGGCACGCATGCCACAGTTGGCACACAGTGCCCTTTCTGTGGGCATGTGAGCTGTCGCCCCAGTTCAGCTCTGTTGTGCATGCTTGCGCACCTCCCACTGGCCAGCTGGTCATCGGGTCTCTGCCACGCAGGGGGCAGGGTGTGTGCGCAGGGCAGCATGCACATACATGGGGGTGTGTGCATGTGGGGGTCACACATGTATGCACGGGGGTGGGGCACATGTGGGGTGGCCATGTGCAGGGGCTACACAAGCATTGCATTTTGGGGGTTCAGGTGTGTGCATTTATGTGCACACATACGTGCTTTGGGCACTTAGTCCAGAAAAGGTTAGCCATCACTGGCCTAAGGGCAGCAAAGCCTAAACTGGGAAATCAGAGAGGGGACTCAATTCATTCATTGGAGAGAACACAGGAAATAAACTTGCAGAAGCTAAACAAAAATATAAAGAAAAACACTATTTATGTCCCTTCCAAACAAAACACTACATTCCCAGCTTTTGTTTAACCTTTTGCAGATGATGTTTATTTGTTTCTGGAGTCAAGGCAAAATGTCTACATAACAATTCTGATTTAAGAACAGACAACCTCACCCTTAGGGTCTCTTTCTCATCATTCTCCCACAGTGAAACTGTTGTTTGTGTACTTAGAGAGTTGGTCCAGAAAGGGCAGACTGAACCAACTTCTATTCCCCTTGTGGATGGCTGCGGACAGAGTTCCTTGAAACTATGTAAATTCTTAAGGATCCCTCCTCCCTTCCCATTCCATTCTTTCTCACCAAATAAACAAGGCTAAAAAGAATTCTGATAGGGATTTGTTTGTTTGTTTTTAATGGAAATTGGCGCTCTTAAGGTCAGGGATGGAACGAATAGGAGGGAGAAACAATAAGAGAGCAAAATTGCCCAGATGCCAGGCTTCACTCAAAGGCGGATGGATACAATGCTTCCTAGCTATGAGAATTCTTTTAGAATTCATCTGTGTTCCAAATGGAAACCGGGCACATGCCAGGCATGTACTGCATGCCTGGCATGCAGTACTCCATCATGTACTTAACAAGGTCCATTTCAGTCTGGTGGCTTCACTTGTGCAACTTCTGACCAGCAAAGTCAAGTGCAGTGATTCACATAACAACCTGGCTAAAAAAAAAAAGAAGTCATAAAATCTCATGCAACTCACTTAACCACCTTGCTGAAATCCTGCCCCCTTGCTCCCTCCCCATCTTTTAATTGTATTTTTATCAGAAATATTTATTTTTATGGTTTTATTACTTTTAATGTTGTAAGCCACCCAAGTTGCCTTGAGGTGGGGGGCGGCAATCAAATCAAATCAAATCAAATCAATAAATAGCAGTCATAAGTCAAGGCAGTGGTGAAATCTAAAATTTGTTCCTACCGGTTCTGTGGGTGTGGCTTGGTGGGGGGGTAATGTGACTGGGTGGGCATGGCCAATTTTTTTTTTTAACTTTTAAAACCGTTTTTTCTCACAACCTCTTCAGCGAAGAGGTTGCAAAAAAATGCTTTCAAAAGGCTCTGACAATCCCAGCTGAGTTGCCTGATCATCAGAGGCTTTTTTTTCTTTTAAATGTCTCTGCCGATCAGGCAACTCAGCTTGGATCGTCAGCTTGGATCGTCAGCTTGGATCGTCAGCTTGGATTGTCAAACTCAGCTTGACGATCAGGCAACTCAGCTTGGATCGTCAGAGGCATAAATGCCTCTGACGATCCAAACTGAGTTGCCTGATCATCAGAGGCTTTTTTTCTTTTAAATGCCTCTGACAATCCAAGCTGAGTTGTCTAGAGGCATGGGGGGGGCAGGGATTTTTGCTACCAGTTCTCTGAACCACCCGCCTCCATTGCTACCGGATCGGGTGATCCGGTCCGAACCGGGAGCATTTCACCCCTGAGTCAAGGACTTTCTTTTATTTGGGTTTTTAGGACTTTTTTCTAGATAAAAATCCTCTGATAATAGATTGCAGTACAAGAATTCCCCCCTCCCCTGGCTCCAAAATCTCAGAACGAAACAAGAAACACCATCCCATAAATTAAGAATAACATCAGAATAACATAACATAAGTAATAGTTGAAAGGTAAATGGGTAGCAGATAACATATATAATTATAGTTTAGCTAAAAGTTTAAAGAAATCTCAAATCCACCAGCATCACAGACTCATCAAGAAAAAGCACAGTAAGTTGGTTTTTATTAGGGTGGGAACCATCTATGACCAGGTCCCATATTAAATTGGATTGTCTTGGACTGAGCTTGTTTAACTTGTTTACTGAGATTGGTTACTGGGGTTCACATAAGACATTAAACAACAAATAAGTGAGATTTGTACCACATTCAGAGCCAAAAAAATCTAACTAAGTTATTACTAACTTATTATTATTATTAAGTACATTGTGTAAAGGCATCTTCTAATTCTTTAACTGATCTAATAATTGTGTTAATCATGTTTACAACTTCACAAGACAAAACCCAACAAAATAACCTGGGCTGAACTGGCATCCACAAAAAGCTTTCTGTATGCAAAGAATGGGTGAAAAATGCTTGCTTTCAAACACCTAAGCTTGGGTCTACACAATAATTGTCATTTTTCAAGATTGGTAGTCTGCTATTTTCTCCAAGGAATCCTAGAGGCAATATATTTCTTGGGCTAAATTATTTCATAAATGTGAAAAATTATTATTCAGAGGAATACTCCCCCATCCTGAGCGCTTCCTGCCTATGGAAAAATAACATATCAAGGGAAGGATTTTATCATGCATTAGAAATTCATTCAAAACTTCCAATTACTTTCTGTTCATATTTGGTGTACAGCATGATTTTTCTGTTGTGCACTATTCAGACAACATCTGGTACAAAATCCTTCTCCTTACTTGCTTAGCCCTATTTTGCCATTGTAATGAGACCAGTGACAAATGATGTTCCTAGTATTTTAATGCAGGACAAGTTAAGAAAAGCTACTGATGGATTGCCCCAGCTTCGTTTCTCCTTCTGTCTCCTTCCATCATGGCCTGTAGATGAGACCAAAGCAATCTCATTAGGCTATAGCATACAGAAATTGTTATTGGATCGTGATCATGATCATGGCTATGATGTGAGTAGAGAAACATGAGAATCAGCCCTTGGTGAATGGTGTAAACTCATCCCTTTTGACTAACCTATTGTTCCAGAGACTGTATGAACCCATATCATAATTCAGTAATCAAGTTGAACAGATTGCATGAATGCAGCTAAAATATGGTGGGCCTTTTAGATGGGTTAATGGGCAGCATGTTGGTGTGATGATCCATCTGTCTCAGTGTGGCTCTTTTTTGTATGCAAGCAATTAAATATTTTCTCTTTTTAACCAAATGAGCAATTAGTTTTAATTGCATGTATTCTGTATTCATGTCTATAAATGGAATAGTCTGGATGAAGATGCAGAAGATTGTGAAGGGTAAATATGACGTGTACAGCAATGCATGAAATTTGAAAAAAGACAACTAGTTATGTTTTTTTGACTGTTTATGAAGCAGCTCTCTTTAGCAGAAGTCCAGCATTGTACATTTTTCTAATCTTTATCTTCTTGAAAGAACACCACCAGAAATAAAATAAACAAATCTGTTTTACAGATAATTATAAAATGCAAAATAAACATTGGGCTGCATTCTGCATAACCACTTCTCTCTTCTCCTATTCCTGTTTTGGAGATAAGAAATAGTTTCCATCACTACCATCCACCTATACAGTAACCTTATTTTAATATGT